AATGAAATACTAAAATAGTAAATGTGAGGTTATTTGGGTAAAGATGAAGATGAAAAGAGATAATGACATCCCCATAACTTATGACATTCATATCACTCCTAATGGCATGCGCATTATATGAGAATTTGCCTCGTCAAAAGAGTTCAATTGCGACCTGTGGGACGAAAATTAAAAAAGAAATAGTGCATAATTTTTTACCACACTACTCACTGCTACATCATTAAAAATATCTTTTTAACTAAAACCCAAGCTAAGGACAAGAGGGGAAAAAATACAGCACAATTGATATGTTTGTGGTTGAAAAGTTCGACGAACTTTTCACACATTGTAAAGGAAGGAATCTGATAAATAAATCTATTAGATCTTTATTGGAACAAATTTGCTGGATATTGATTTCACTATCCCTTTGAAAATGATGAATGAAAAAGAATTTTGATAAAATATATTTTGTTTTATCTCATCTAATGTGCCCTTCTTTTAGTTGTGTAATTGAATCAGCATTACATTCATGTAAAATTGATTCCTGTGTGATATATTATCAATTTTAACCATATATATTTTTAACTTGCGCTATGTATCATTAGAATTTCTGCATGATTAAATAATATAGTTGATATAGTTTGTTTTATAAATCACCATAAAATAAGTGTACCGCCACACATAAACAAATGCTCTGTTTCTGAACAGTATATTCGTCTCCATGTGGATAAAAACACAACAAATGAGGTCTAATTCATTCATAAAATTAAGTAAACTTCATCATTATTTTCTTGCTTGGTGGAATCTTATTCTCATGACGATTATCACATGTAGCATAGGAATACAAAGTAACATAATTGGTAAACTTAGTCACACTTAGAACGTAGTAATTCCAAAACATGTCTTAGAAACAAAGGCTTTATTATTTTTTTGTCTTATAAGCATATTATATAGGATCTATATATTATGCCCTATTGGTAAGTAAAGATTTGGCAATACGACCATCCCCACCTTTAGGGTGAAAACCACCTGGGACACGTTCATCACCAGTACCATAAACAATCCTTAAAACTTCCTGGGGCTGTCTAGGATAAGCCACTGAGGTATTATCACCTGCGAGAATGTTGCCAGAAATTTTGCCTTCTGCTCCAACAGAATTGGCTACCACAAGTCCTTCATCTTTCATACCCATTTTCCCTAACTTGTCTCGAAGCATAGAGATCCTGTTTGTGAACTCTGCAACGCTCACATTATACGGATTCACAACTTCATCTTTGTGCTGATATAGTAATGTTCGGATTACTGCATCTTGCCCTGACTCTACCCCCAAAAGTCCTGCCACTAGCTGTACATATACACATACACGCATAATGTCAATTCAAAAAACAGTTTTCAATCCTAATTCATGAAATACGAGACAAATATGTAAGAGGAGTTTTATTTTGATTCACGTGAAAGTGCTTATAAACACTTAGATAGGCAAGTACAAACAAACAATTAAGTAGACATAGGTTTTATGTACTGTAGGAAGCTTAAGAAATAATGTACACTACTCATTACTTAATAGTAGTATGTCTTTTTGTAAACTATATGATCACCTCATGCCCCTAATATAAAAAATAATTGACTAATTTGAGGATATTAATAAAGTTAAATAAATTACTTGATTATAGCATATGTCACTACATGATTTCTTTAAAATACTTACGTGTATCGTTAGATTATGTATGTGTATATTAATTTATAAGTTAGATAAATTAGTTTGGAGAAAAACAATAACTAAAAATACTTTAAAATGATGTATTTAGCTTTCTTGATTTTTTTCAAATTAGTCAGTTAGGTCTTATATTAAGAACCAAAGTGGATTGTATTAGTCTTTAGAGATTCTATTACATAAAAACAATATATTGGCATTATTAGTCCCAAGTGGCCCATGTTTAGGTGAGATAATGACAACTCATTTTATCAAGGCTAATTAGGTCATTTCACTAAACTTAATTTCATGACATTCCCTAAAACTTTCATAGGAGTTAAGCAATTTTCAGGGACAATTCTGAGACTCTCATATTTTAGTGGTGCATACATATATTTCATTCTAAAATGTGCAACATAAATGATAATCTAAAATTTCATTTTTGAAATGGACAAATTGAATATATACCTCCTTGGAAGTTTCATTTTGGAGCAAGTGGGCAGCTCCAACATAGCCAGTAAGGCCAACATAAGGAATGACGTAGGACGCAAGCAAGTAATTAATAGAATTGGCATAAGGATCAAAAGGTGGATTCAGAGGTTTTCCAAAAGCATTGTCCATTATTGTTGCAAATGCTTCACTGCTCAAATTCAATAATGGCCTTGGAAACCCTTTCACTTTGCTCAATATCGCCCTACAATCATAACACATTCAATTTCAAATATTATTATTATTATTCAACAAGTAAAACAGTTAAGAAAAAAAGTCAATTTATCACAATTTTGAATCAAATTCTTATAGTTTACTTTGCTTGAATTAGGCCCTTATAGTTTGATTTGTTATAAGCATTCATCTTTGAGTATAAAACTCATTAATTTTAATTTATAAAATTCATGAACTTTATGAAATATCTTTTATTTTATTTAATGCTGTTTTAACACCATTGCATTTCTCTAAATTAAAATTACCAAATCAAACAATAAGACTGAATTCAAACAAAATAAGCTACACAAACCTGATTTAAAATTAAAAATATATATAAACAAATTAATTTTTTAATATTTAATGAGAGAAGTTATAACTGTGGAGATCACAAAGATGTAAAGATAGAAAATACCTTAAATGCCCAACTTCTTGATAGCCAAATTGCAAGATAATATCCTTAGTGAGAGGATCAAGGTGGGCTAATTTTGCACCACTGGGTAATGGGCCGCCTTGGGCCAACTTTGGGTCAATAGCATCAAGCCCAGAGCCCAAAGCCCCATACAAAAAGAACTCAGCTTCCAGAAACTCCAAATTCAAAGGGAATTCAAGCAAATCATTATCATTGAAATCTAATATTGCAGGCTCTGCGAACACATTGAAAGAAGGAGAACTTGGAAGGAACAGGGAGGCTATGAAAAGAGTGAAAGAGATAGAGATGAAGTGTTTGCCAAGAGCCATTTGTGGGAGAGAAAAATATGGTGAACTTGTAACTCACTTGAATTGCACTATATTCCTGTTTGTGAGGCTATATTTATACACAAATGAAAGGTGTTAAGGAGGGCTTGGTGCATGCAACTCAAATAAACGATAGGACATACACGCTGGCATGTAATAAATCATTATCATTAAACCTTATCTTGTTGATTTAATTAAATGCATATGCAGAGAAAAAATTAATTATTTGATCTTTATAGTTTGGATTCGATTAAAATTCAGTTCTTTGACCTCTGATTTGGTGTAACATAGTACTACCTCCGGTCCTTAATATAAAATTTTGTTTGATTTTTGTTTTTGTCCTAAATATAAGACTCCAATCCACTTTGTCTCTCATATTTATATATTTTTTTTCTAAAGTAACCCTTCTAATAATAAGAGTTCTAGTCAATATACTTGATTAATAAGGATATTTTAAGAAAGACAACACCTATTTATGACAAATAACTAACTCAACTTATTTTCTTAATCTCTTCAAATTAGTCAACTAGCTCTTATAATTAGGACCGGAAGTAGTATCTATATATAGTTTTGCTATTTAAAACATTAGCTCTTAAGTTTTTTTTTTGGGAAAAAAAACTTTAGTCCTTGTAATTTGGTTCTTCAAATTTGGGGATTAACATTTTAAATGGTTAAGGCTACAAGAGTAGGTTGTCATGTGTGAAAGTTTAAGGACAAAGTTTCGAGGCAAGTTAAAACTATAAAAACTAATTTGTATTAAGTTAAATTTTAATGATTGAATTATAATCGAGTTAAAACTTTAAAGGCCAAAATAGCCAATTTTTCCTATATATAAATAAATAAATTAGTAATGATGAGATGCGGGAATATGTTGATTTATTGCCTTTAAAGCATATATTTGATTCATCACATGACCAAACTTTAAAATCATGTACGTACACTCTGTTTTGGATTTAAAGCACTTTAAAATATGAATCTCCAGATTCACAAAAATAAATGTACATGGTGTTCAATCTTTAATTTGTACATAATATGAATCATCATGACTTGTGGCACATACAGAATATGATTAATCAAGTTGCAAAATTATAGTTATAAATTACAATTAATGTGATGATCTCTAACTTGTTCATAAAAAATCACTGAATGATTCGATGAAACTGTGTTCTCAATCCATATATGTATATGAAGATCAAATATACGATAAAGTGTTCCCCCCCCCCCCTTTTTGAGTAAGAATATATCACACTTTTAATCCTTTGATCCTCTATGATACATTTGAGATAAAAAGCGTAATAAGTTTAATTTCTTAATCTCAGTCTCTTTATTAATAATATTCTGTACCATTTTTTTTTTTAGAAACGATAATATATATTAAAGAATTGAGACTTTTTTTTCCCCATTAAACAAGTACCTTCTGTCAAAGACAATCCTGCCCTAAAAGTGAGTACCTCTAGCAACAAGAGAATTGGATTGGACCCTAAATAGAAAATCTCAAGGCATTGTTGTCTTGTGGATTAAATATTAAATTAAGATTATAATTAATGATAATTTAAGGTTAAATTCATTAACAAAATAGATATAAAGAGTACTACATCCGGTTCTTAATATAAGAGCTAATTAACTAATTTTAGTAAATTAAGAAAATTAATTAAGTTAGTTATTAGTAAGAAATATGTTTTTTTTTAAATACTCTTACTAATTAAGTGCCATTTGATTTGATGAAACATTTAACATATGCAGTTACTATAAAGACTACCTTAAAAAAAATGGATAAATATGAAAAACAAAGTAAACTGGGGTTTTATATTTAGAACTAAATTAAAAGTCAAACTACCTCTTATATTAAGAACCAGAAATAGTATATTATTATTATTTGAGCTGATTAATATATGAAAGCCAGAGACATTATTATATGTGATTAATTAAGGATGTAAATTATTATAAGACTGAGCGATGCGACCATGTGCTCCTTCGGGATAGAAACCACCTGGGATACTCTCACTGCCAGTCCCATAAATGATCCTTAATATTTGCTGAGGGGTTCTGCCATAAGAGAGAGAGTTGGTGTTTGCAGAGAGGACATTGCCGGAGACTTTGCCCTCAGAACCTTCATCTTTTGGGACGACAAGACCTTCGTCCTCCTTCAAACCAGCGTTTCCTAGTCTGTCTCGAAGCTTGGAGATACGGTCTGTGAATTCTGCTACAGTTATGGCGTATGGCGCGACGAGTTCATGCTTACGCTCATATAATAATGCTCTTGTTACTGCATCTTGCCCTGACTCGACTCCCAGAAGCCCAGCTACTAGCTGCATGTAGATTTTCATTTGAAATCAGTCTTTTCTAAAATCAAATATACTGTATTTGATATTGAAAACTAGAGTTTGGAGGTATTGAAAACCAGACCGATCATTAAACCGAATGAGTCATTAGTCTAATTGTGATTAAACTAGAGTTTACCCAATTATGATTAAAATAATATAATATTGAAAATCGGACCCATCATTAAACCAAATGAGTTAGAGATCTAATAATGGTTATATTAGAAATAACCCAATCATAATTAAAATAATATAATATATATAACCATGAAAAGAGTAATATTTGAATAAAGATGTATTAATTCACAAGTAAATGGAATATTCATGTATGGATTACACATAATATTCAATAAAACAAAATTATTATATTAAAGCAGAAACTTGACTAACTGCTATTATTTTAAAAAAAAATCAAAACGATGTTGCTTCATTCTCAATAAAAAGATAAATATATAAAGTTATAATTTTCAGCCCGCTTGATCTGTCCAAAATTCTTAACCAGATTAGTTAGAAGACTAATTTACCAGTTTGCATAACATGCTAGAATGTGTAGGTAATGCGGTAAGCCAAAATTTGAATTGGATAACATGAATACCTGTTTGGAGGTGGTATTTTGGAGCATAGGATTAGCTCCAACATAACCAGTGAGACCAACATAAGGAATTACATAAGTTGCCAATAAATAATTAATGGAATTGGCATATGGATCAAAAGGTGGGTTCAGAGGTCTTCCAAAAGCCTTGTTCATTATTGTTGCGAACACTTGGCTGCTTATATTTAGCAATGGCCTTGGAAATCCTTTTACTGTGCTTTTTATGGCCCTGCAATATCATAATCACCACCAAACTTGACAACATTTTATAATAAACATTTCAAAGAAAAATGAAAAAATCCCAAAAAAAGCCCTTGGAATATAGAAAATTCCTGATTGAGTTTTGGAATTGTGTAAATAACAGAAATGGTCAATGACTTAATCTGTCATTTGTAAAATCAAGAGGAATTGATAATTTTATCTTGGTTAGGCAAAAGTGAGTAGTTATTCTCTAAACGAATCTAGGTAATGCTTACACTGTTCTAGTGATTACATGATTAGTTATAGTTAATAACAAGGCAACTTCTCATGAGGCATTCCTGACTACGAAAAAATGAGTAGTTATTCTCTACACAAATCTAGGTAATGCTTACACTATTCTGCTGGTTACATGATTAATTGTAGTTAATAACAAGACAATTTCTCATGGGGCATTCCTGACTACCAAAAAATGAGTAGTTATTCTCTACATGAATTTAGGTAATACTTACACTGTTTTACTGATTACATGATTAATTGTAGTTAATAACAAGGCAACTTCTCATGGGGCATTCTTGACTACAAAAAAATGAATAATTATTCTCTATACGAATCTAGATAACGTCTAAACCCTTATAGTGATTCTTTAAATCATTGTAGTGAATGAATACAAATGAGGCAAAGTTGTCAATTCCTCTTGATTTTACAAATGACAGATTAGGTCATTGACCCTTTCTGTCATTTACACAATTTCAAGACCCAATCAGGAATTCATTATATTCCAAGAGTTTTTTTTGGGATTTTCCAAGAAAAATTCATTCTTTTTTTACCAAATAAAAATATTTTAAAATATTTGGAAAATCTTTTAATTTTGCTCAGGATTGTTAGTCATGCAAAATAAAGGGAGAAAAATTGTAGATATCAAATTAAAAATTAATATATATATATATATATATAGGTACATGCAAAATAACAATTATAGAAATTACCTCAAATGCCCAACTTCCTGCAAGCCGAATTGCAAAATAATATCTTTAGTGAGAGGGTCAAGTTGGGCCAATCTACCCCCAATTGGTGATGGGCCTCCTTGGGCAAGATCTGGGCTAGCTATATCCAGCCCATAGCCCAAAGATCCAAACAGAAAGAACTCAGCCTCCAAGTACTCTAAATTTAGAGGGAACTCAAGAAGATCTTTGTCACTGAAATAACTTGCTGCACTCGCAAAAATTTTAGAAGAATGAGACTTTGGGGCAAACAAGGAAAGGAAAAAAGAAGTGAACAAAACAACGTTGGAAATAGTGATAAAGTGCTTGTGAAAAGCCATGGTGATATTGAGAAAATTTGTAAACTGATTGAATGAATCTGTTCTTTGTTTGTGCAATTATATATAGGCAAGATGATAATTTCAAAGTGGGGTTGGAGTGCAAAAAATTCAAACAAGTGATAAATACAAGAGTAAATGTGTGATAAATGAGTATTTATTACGTGTTGCATATTTTCTTACATCCAATTCAAATTGAATATAACATTTCTTTTTTAATATAAGAGTTAAATGACTAATCTGTGAATATTAAAAAAAATTAATTAAGTTAATTATTTATAATAAGTAAATATTATCTTTTTTAAAATACTCTTATTAATCATACGCATTTGAATTATTTCTTAATAATAACTTTTTATCATGTGTGATTACTATAAAAATTAGTTAACGACAAAATGGATAAATTATAAATATTAGAGATAAAGTGTACTAAGATCTTATATTTATCAGGTACAATTTGGTGAATCCCAAAAAGCACTTAGAAAAATATTTTCATGCTAGCCGAGACAAAATTTATCTCACATATTTATCTCATACATCATAAAATTACTTCTAAAAAGCTAATCCAAACACTCCTTAACTAAATGAAATATTTAATTAGCTTTTACATTAAGATGCGGAGCTCATAATATTTATTGAAAATGGGGAAGGATTGTGCATCTCGTTGAAATGTTTGAAAGTGTGGGGATAACTTGTAATTAAAAATCACTTTGCTTTATTTTAGCCACACAACAAAAAAAAGCTGTGTTATACCAAATTGCTAGCCTCGCTCTATAAATGCCCAGGTGTTTTGTGTTGTAATTTAGAGGGAAAAATTAATCAAGTGAAGGATTTATTATTCACGCAACAACACAACAACAAAGTTTGTAAATTACTAATTTTTTGTGCCGCTTGAAACAAGTATTATGATAGTGACATGAACATCCAAAAATTTATTTAGTGTAAATAAATGTAATTTAAGTCTCAAGATATCGTTATTTTTTAATAGATATAATTATCTTGTTATAAATATATCGGTTTAATGTGATGACATGATCATTTCTAATGTTTGCCGGCCAAAATGATCATTTCCAATTTGATCGTGCTTCAAATTTGATATGGCATGAGCGAAACAAATATGATTCATGGGCGTTGAAGTCATAAAGAGATACTGATGATGCATATTATTACCACAACAATCATATATATCATCTTGATAAATGTTCACAAAGTTTGGTGTTTGATGACAATTATGTAAATATTCCTTATAATATCGAGATTCTACGTATGAGACCAAAGATCTTACTCCACGGCCACTTGGATATTGTTTTTTTTCTTTTCCAGTGATAAATTTTTAGGTAAGGGGTTGGCTCACCTACAAGCCAAGGACAAGAAAAAAACTAGTTTGTCACATAGCTCAGTTGCCTAAGAGTCACACCCTACCCATTTGGGCGCTTGGCATGCCTAAGTCATTAGTTGGGATCGAATATTAACAATGTGAGAATTACCAGTAGGAGTTGAGTCTAGCAGAATGAACTAGTCTCTCACAATGTGGAGAATTAGTGTTAAATTACATATTTTACCTGGTTATGAATATACCTCCCCGATTGTCACAATAATCTTAGAAATTAAATCACTTTCTTTAATGAGAGTATCCAACCCTTTAAATGCTGAACTTTTGGGACAATGGGGTCACTTGGATAGTTCTTTATACCAAGATCATTGCTCTTGTTCCACTTTAGCCATACCTGCAAGTTACTCCTCTAATCCTATTTATAAGACAGATATAGAGAAAATTTTTTGGTCATATTTATAGAGTAGAAAAAGCAAATTTTCATATGAATATACAATTCTATCACTCATTTATTATTGAGGTTCTTAATATAAGACTTAATTAACTAATTTGAATAAATTAAAAATGTTAGTTAAATTGGTTAATATGATGTTTTTTTTTCCCCTAACATACGCGAAGCATTTTTCTTAATTTCCTTCCTTCCTCTTCTGCTTGATTATTATTGGGAGAATATCAATAGGATTAATTGGGAAAAAATTGATAAGCATGTGAAATAAATATTATATATAGAACTAACATTAACTTCCCAATTAGCTCCTATATTAAGGATCGGATGAGTATATTAAATGAGAATAAAATTGAAAAGTTATTAAATTTTAAATAAAAGTTAATAAAATTTAAAATTTTTATTAGTTTATGTGAAATATGTTAAAAATAATTTATAAATAAAATTATATGAGTAGATCACAAAATACTCCTTTTACCTGCGAGTTGTGACTATGTCCATTGGGACTCCACTAATTCAAAAGCCATAATTGGCATTTATGAGTGTTGTGGGTAATATTCATGAATATTTATCCAAATTAAAAATTCTTAAAATTTCAAAATTAATACTCCTCCGGTCCTTAATGTAAGACCCATTTAACTAATTTGATTAGATTAAGGAAGTTAGGTAAGTTAGTTAATTATAAAAAAAGTGACACATTTTTCCTAAAACACCATAATCATCTTTTTTAATACCTCATCTCCCTCTTCTATTTGATTATGGTTGAGGGAGTATCTATAGGGGTAATTTAGAGAAAATTGATAAATATGATAAATAGGTCTTATATTTAGGACCAAAACCAACTCAAGAATTGAGTCCTAAGGACTGGAGGAGTACTAGTTTGGCAAAGAAGTACCTATAGGTGGAGCTAGATAGGGAGAACCTCAATCCTTTACTAGCATTTAAGGCCAAAAATTAAAAAATAAGACCCACTTTATGATATAATTTACATTTTACACTATAAAGTGGGTCTTATATTTAGAATAAAAGTAGTAATTGACAAAAATTCCCACGCAGGTCCAAATTGAAAGTTCCATGATAAGTTGAAAATTTTGGAACGCCTAAATTAAAATAATATTCAATTTTTTTTGCCAGCTAAAATAATATTCAGTTAAACAATCTTTTTTTCATTTTCATTCTTGTAGAATTTCCAACTTGTATGCATTGTTTTTTCAACTTAATTTTCAACCTTCCTTTTCAAATTGGCGAATGAAAACAAAGAATGTCTAATGCAAAAACTTTGAATAACAAGCTCCGTTATTTATAGTAAATGGGTATGAGTTGTTATAAATTTTATATAATATTAAATCTTTAATATAAGACCTAGTTTGATAGTTAGATTTTAATTATAAATATAATATCTTAATTTATCTTGTTTTTTAAACTTATGATTTTTTTCAAAATATTTTCAAGAATAATTTAACGAAGTTAATGCATACTTGTTACATCTGATAAACAATTTATCTACTTCTTTTAATATTTGTAATTAATTATTTAGTTTTTATACTAAAAATAAAAATCAGAGATAGTATATATATTAATAAATGAAAATATTAAAGATGCTTGTCTATTCTTTTTTTTCCTGTATTTTTATCGGTTAAAACAAAAAAAAAAGGGGGAAATCAGAATACATGCCCCTCGCCGCTATCTTACAATCAAATTGGACTGTTTCTGACTTTCTGTTTGCAATTAAACGACATATTATCCCACAAAACCCTTGGATTTAGTGACATCTTACCCTCTCTTTTGAGAGAAACGTCGCGAGTTTAAATTCGTGTTTGCATGTTGAAATTTCATCTCTCCAACCAATTTGCAAATATTTATAAAATTAATTAAATTGATTATTTATAATAAATATGTTTTGAATTCTCTAAACCACAATCTTTAATTCTATACATTATATTAAAATTATTTCTTGGTGAGTAGATTGAAGTCTAATCTTACCTTAACTAACTTTTATATTAAAAAGTAGAAATAAGAATCATTTTAGTTTTTATTATAAGAATCTGCTAACTAATTCAATCATACTAATAAAAATGGTTAAAAACATTAAACTTGTCATAAAATTCAAGTGATTTCTAGTGTTATCCTTATTAACTATATATTAAAATTTAATATAGTATTAATTTCTATTCTCTTATTACCCTTATTAAATATAAGCATATATATGAAAAAATATTAATACTTGTTGAAACTATTAAGGAAAAATCTTTTTGGAGGCACCTATACTTTTTTTGAAATTTTTTTTAATTTTGTACTTATATGTTTTTTTCCTCTTAATTAAATCTTTAATTTTGGTCTATTAATATAGTTCTTGCATGGAGACTAAAAATATTGATAGAACAAAATTACAAGAGTTAACATTGCTAATAAAATAAAATAAAATAAAATGATTTAATTAAGAAGAAAAAGACACATAGGTATTAAATTAAAAATTGAGAGAAAATATATCTACTTTTAATTGGTTTTCCCAAACTATCAAAAGTTCTTATGAAAATAAAATAAAATAAAATGTCCCCCATAATGAGGACAGGAACTATATGATGATATCCTAATACTCCTCCGGTCCTAATTATAAGACCCAATTGACTTATTTGAGGAGATTAAGGAAGTAAGTTAAGTTGGTTATTTATAATAAATAAGTGTTGTTATTTCTAAAATATCTTTGCTAATTAAGTATATTGGCTAAAACTATCATTATTAGAAGGATTATCTTGGAAAAAATTACATAAATATAAGAGAGAAAATGGATTGGGTCTTATAATTAGGACCAAATAAAAAATCAAATTGGGTCTTATAATAAAGACCGGAGGAGTATTTTTATCAGTCATAAAAACCTTGCAAGGTGGTGTTTACTATTTAGTCCACTTTTACACACTTACAATTACATTACTTTCACTCTTTCAGTTTCAACCAAATCATTATTGTGAACATTTCCTCACCCACTCATTTTGGAAATTGGAAGACCCCTGAAAGGAGACAAGCCTTCTCTAATTGATCAGATTCAAAAAATCATTTGACACGGTAAGGAACCATATAACACCCAATCCACCAAATATGATCAAGGCTCAAGATTTAGTATTTGCATAAAACCATCGAAGCTTACGCCGTCGCTTCGGTCACCGCCGCCGCCAAGTGCGATCATATCGTCAATATCTTGGTCGGTGACGGCGATCCCAGCCCACTCCATGAAGCTTTTCAGATCCTTGTGGCTGAGCTTGCCGTCGCCGTCGTGCTTGTTCATGACTCTAAACACTTCCTTCATCACTCCGCCGCCGCAACCGCCACAGCCTGCTATTTCCAACATGCGCTCGAACTCTTCATACTGGACGAAGCCGTCTTTGTTAGTGTCCGCCGCCGTCATCATCGACCCGATTGTGTCGTCGTCTACGTCTTCATGGCAAAACCTGTGGTAGAACGATTGAAGGTCGTTGCGGCTTATTCCATCATGATCGACATCGAGCACGTCGAATGCTGGTCGGAATGGTTCATTAATGGCGGCGGAGGAAGAGGAGGAAGCATGGTGGTGAGAACGGAGGTTCCGGCGGGAAGGACCCATTTCAGAAAGAAAAGTGTGCGTAAGGGAAAATGTCCAAATCCTTATTTTACTGAGCCCATTTCTCATCTTTTCTCCCTCTGCGTTTGCTTTTATTCTCATTTTACGAGAGATGTGGGGCCCAATCCCATATCTCATTTTTTTCCTCCAAGCACATGAGTTTTGGAGGAAAAAAGAAAAAGATTTTTGAGTTGAAAATATGCTTTTTAATTATTTATACTACCCTAATTGTTATTATAAGATACCTTGAATCACCCCAATAAAATCAATGGGAGATTATCAAATTATTAACTGTTTCTAAAAAATAAAAAATTAATAAATTTATCCGTATTTATTTACCACCCTAAATTACATTCAATAAGATCTAGAATTGGTAATTAATAAAATTTTAGAATGGAAGAAGAAGCATTATACTACCTCTCGTCCTAATTATAAGACCTCGTTTATACATTACAAACGAGATTTTATAATTAAGAACAGAGGTAGTATTTACTTGCTCATCATTTTTTTTATAATTTAGAATTTAGTGATGATTTTTAACATTCTAAATCTTTCACATCCAAATTACATGTCAAGCAATAGCATCAAGAGGAAAAATCCTCAAAAAGATGTTCAACAAGACTAGCATAATTTTATTCAGTACATTCAATTTTCTCACACACCAAAAAAAAAAAAACAAAAGAGAACATATATATTTATAGATTTCAAGAGGCACTGAGAAGCTCAAAGTCATGAGAAGAAGGCATGGAAGTTCCAGAAATGAAGGCTCTGATGAGAGTGAAAGCATATTTTGGTTTGTGCTTGGCAATCTCATGCCCTGCCCCTCTTACTACCACAAAAGTCACCCCTTCATATTCCTCTGTCCATCCTCCCACCTGTTCACAAGTCTCAAACATTTATGACACATCAATCATATACAATGTCAAGGGTCATTTTTATTCTTAAAGTACTTATAAAGAAGTTATGGATATTTAAAAGTTTTTTTTGACTTAATATATCCTTTCAGTTAAAAAACTAATATTGACAGTTAAAAGTTATAAGGGTGATATTGCTTATTTTTTAATACTTCTTGAACAACATTGAGTCAAAACAAACTTTTGAATATCTCAGATCTTCTGTGAATACGATAAAAATGACCCTTAACCTTTATATGCACGCATATAATTTATCACTTCTTTAGATTACATCTTTCAATATAGATATACTTTTACCTGCCCATTGTCATACCAAGGACGCCAAGGGCTTACACTTGGAAGCTTCAGAGCATTTAGACTGTAGCGAGTGGATGTCACTGGAAGCACAGAATCTGTATCACCACTGTCATATGGCAAAAGAAAAATCAAACATCAATGGAAATGAAGAGGAATATTCATGCAATTATAACTCTATTCTTAGGCAGACTTTTTAAGTTTCATTGCAGACTAACCTGAAAACCCAAATCCTCAGTCCTGCCTGAACAAGTTCTTGATAAATATCAAGCACTGTCACTGGAGAATCTTTCCAGGTTTTACTTACTACGTCACTGCAAAATATTTGAGAGAGAGCAAGGCACACTTTACATTTCTACATCCCAAAGCAGAACATAGAAGAAGTTCCCTCAAATCGGCACCAATAATTTTTCTCTAAAAATAGTTACTTTAGTTGTAAGTATTCTCAAAATTTCAGCTTGGAACTACAATATAACTTCATACAGAAAGGATGTCACAAAAGTCTTAGTTAATAGTTAAAAAGGGGAAATTTCATGTCACTTAATAAATGAAGATGGATTCGGATAAATCACATGGGATGTCTGAGAACATTTGGTGTTTAATGGGAGATGTTGCATGGGAATATATATATATATATAAAATATGCCCTCTTGATTGCTACCCTATTGATCATAAAATACCTGCAGGTTTTCCATTTGTGAGGTTTATGAGCTGGATCAAGATGAAGAGCCTTTTGAACCTCAGGTAAATTAAAGTACACAGTGGTGTGCTTCGATGCGCAAGGATCGAATGGCGCTCTGAGCCTGCCAATTCTCTATAACATAGCATTAAAATTATCAGTTAGAAATGTCTCATAATCATCTAGTTAATCATGTTCTCACTTATCTGATATATCTGATTTTAGGTAGAATTCCCAACCATCTCTGCAGTGTATTGACAAACTTTAATACTGGGATGTGTTTTATGACTCATGGGGCCAATAGAAAAGCTGATTATGATTTTGCAGTAAAATGACTTCAATAAGAGGAAATCAAAATGCTACAGTAAAATTTCGTCGTTTAAGAAGATTCCCATTCACAATTTTTGTTGTGTTTGAAATGAGAAGACAAAGAAAACAAGTAGAGAATCAATGAATAGTATTAACAAGGTACGCTTACATGAGTTCTTTTTGCCAGCAGGTTTGTTTGGCTTACATTAGAAGGGCATGGAGGAGTAAAAATACTGTACTGATCAAGGTTGCCAATTTCTTTATCAACAATGTCTAAAACTTTCTGACATGAATCTGAAGGATGCACGAAAGGCTCAAGATTGCATTTAATGTTCAATATCTCGTGTGTTTGATCTGAAATCAAACCAGAGGTCCATAAAAACTGGGCAACTCCCTTATGATCATTGTAATCATCAGTTAGAGGATTTCCTACCTTCAATAGACACAGACACATTTATATTATTTACTGCCTTAAGCAGATCAGCAAAAAGAAATCATTCTCATGAAGACACAAAAATCTATACCAAGTAGCCTTTCAGATTGATGCATTTATCTTTGGCTCTCTTGTTGTGCTTCAGAATAAGTTGGCTAAGTTGAGGGACATAATGCCCTGAAACACAGGTCTAACAGTTGATTCATACTAAGATATCACAGGAAGACAAAGTCTATATGAAAAAAAAAAAAAGAGTACAACCAAAACATTTTACATGCAACTGCACCTCATCGATTTTTTTTTTTTTTTTGGTTGGGCAGTATCCCCTAACTGGTAGTTAGAGACTAATCCTCTTGAAGAGTAGAGACCATTGGAAAGGGTTTTGCCTCTTCCAAACAAAGTTCTTTTCATGCAAACGGCCTGGTTTGAGCTCAGAACATCATTTTTAAGGGACCCAACCGTCTACCAATTGTGTTGGACTTTGTTGGTATTGATTTTATTTTCTTATGTTAGGAACTTGGGAATAATTTGAGAGATGTGTGAACTAAAGTGCTGGTGGTCAAACTGGTCAAAGGTTGACAATGTAATTTCATGCTGTCAGCCCATGATTCTCAAAGACATGTTAGGTTGTAAGCCCTTTCTGAAAGACGCATTATGGAGTTTCACTTACCTGCATAACTCTCACCAGATATAAAGAAATCTCTTCCTTTATACTGAGGAAATCGCTCCAACCACTTCAATAGGAATTCCAAAGAATCCATAGCTGCCAATGAAATAACATTAAACTTGAGTCTCGCAATACACGCACACACATGTATGTATGTATGTATGTATTCCAAACCAGAAAGTATGAGGTCCTAAACTATTAGACTCATACCAGTCCTACTATCGCCATTGTTCTTTATGTCCGACAGAGTCTTTGAATATGAAAATCCAACTCCAACAGGAGAATCAACAAAAAGAAGGTTGGCAACTATAAAACAAACACAAAAAATAGTTAGACTGACACATCTGCATTTACCAAATTGGCACTCTGCTAATAAGAAAAAAGTTCATGATGAGCATAAGTAAGATACCTCGAACGACCAATAAAGGGATGAATCTATGAGGGGATTGAAGAAAATATAAACAATCTTGTAGGTTGTTGCGTCTTTATTTAATTACCTCGATTCCAAGAGTAAGGATTTAGATAAAGTGTCTTGCCACCCGGCTTAATGCGAAAGGGACCAATTTCATTTGCTGCCCCCAATCCAATGGATGAACATCCAGGTCCTGCGTAGAAGACAGAAATTTTCACAACCTTAAAAAAACACAAGTGTGAAACGAAGGAAACACCTTAACGAACATAAAAAGAAGCAATGCTTTTGAGTTTTAACCTCCATTGAGCCATAGAAGGAGGGGCTTAGTTTCAGGTTCTGAGGCAGCTTCAAAGAACCAGTAAAACAGTGCCCTCCCAGCTTCCTGGTTCACTTTGACATACCCAGCGTAATGTGCAAAATTGACGTTAAACTCTTGACCCGGAAGCCACTCGACCCGGTCTTCTTCTTGCTGGACAAACGGGTCTGAGGAAGAAGATAAAGCAAACCCAGTATTCCCCTGAAGGCACAGATACAGAGTGGTAACAACTATGGCTAAAAGTTGAGAGAGAAGAGGAGAGAAGTTGGGTTTTGCCATTGAAAGTAGGACAAAGGACGATGAATATTTGGTGCGTACAGTGTTCCCTCAGCTTTAAATAGAGCAGGATTTCGTTATGCCAATCATGATGCATGCATGCCTGTTTTGTACCCAAATCCTTTTGTTGTGCCACCTAGTTTTGTCTGCACTCCTTTTGTTGTGCCATCACTTTTCTCTGCATGCCGCTTTTGAAAGTGAAATTTAAGGGATGAAGTGCTTCATAATAATTATTTTAAAAGTCGCCCATCAGAGATAATTTCAAATTAATCCCTTTATATGTGTCTCTCGTATGAAAGAGTTATATACTTAGCTATATTCTTTAGAAATGATACTCAAATCCATACTACTGAATAGAAAACAACTCTAATAAGAAAACAAGCAATACCCCTTCAACCAAATTGCAACTAACAGAACCTACTCATAAAACACATGAGAATTATATTCTGAGGGGAAAGATTTTCGAACAAGTCTGTTTGCTAAAAACTTTGTAATGGATTAATGAAGTTGTAATGGCCAGTTAGATTTTGGAAAGAAACGATGGGCCACAGGAATTAATGTAAAGTCTAAAAAAGACTTCATACCTCCACCATCAAAATGAAATTAAAAAAAAAAAAAGGGTCATATGTAGTGAAGGAAGAAAAAGATGATGGTGTAGGCAGATAGGGTCACCAGGCCACAGTGGGCTGACTGTGCAGCAGCCTGTTATCCCTCCACTGTTGAGAGCCAGAGGTTTTCGCTGCTCTGTGAAACCAGCCTCACGCATTGCCCTCTGGTTTAAGGCTCACGAGATCTAAACCTTCACTTAAATCCCGTGAACTAACTCTCCACTTGGAGCGGGCAGGCCAGCATGATGCAGCGATCAGTCCAACCTGGCGAAACCCAAGCTGTATCCCACCATCTTGATGCCCTCACTTGAGTAACAAGCCGACGTTACCCAGCTCGGCGGGCGGGGGGGCATATCCACGCATTTATAAAGACTGGCTATTCTCAGCTTTTGGCAATGTGGGACTTCAAATAATTCCAGCCTACTCCACGTACTGACTGAGTTGTGTTGATCGAAAATATGTGGATGCATCAAAGAAGCTGTAAACTCTCTGACCAAACCACTTCGTTGTATTGTTAAGTTCGATCTGCGGCTTTTTAAAGCACCCCAGAAGGATATAAAAAGCATGTGAACGAGTTCATAAATTCACCCAGCAAAACTGAGCTTTATATGTTTTAAGAAAATTCAGAATAGAGTCTCCTTCCAGTTGAGGAAGAACATACTGGTTTAAACTTTATAGTTCTGAACCAAATTTGCCTCCAATTGGCAAAATAGATCAAAATGCTTTCGTTTTGATTCTTCTTGAAGAAGATGATCTGAGAATGTACTTTATTTTGAAGTGGACAAGCTTGAACTAATCAATTTATATAAGGATTCAACAGGAAAATGATTATTCATATTAGATTTTATCTGAATTTATACAGCAATCCAGCATTTTCTGTCATCCACGATCTATCAATCTTATTTTTTCCTTTTTTCCATGGAAGAAAATAAAAATCCACCTTCATTGTGTTATATGATAATTTCAAGGGTTAATACAATTTTAGTTCAATCAAGTTTGTTTTTATTTTGGTTTTGGTTCTTCAAGTTTCAAACTACTCCTCCGGTCCTTATTATAAGACCCAATTTGACTTTTTATTTGGTCCTAATTATAAGACCCAATCCATTTTCTCTTTTATATTTATGCATTTTTTTCCAAGATAATCCTTCTAATAATGATAGTTTTAGCTAATATACTTAATTAGCAAGGATATTTTAGGAATAACAACACTTATTTATTATAAATAACCAACTTAACTTACTTCCTTAATCTCCTCAAATAAGTCAATTGGGTCTTATAATTAGGACCGGAGGAGTATAATTTTTAGTCTTAAAAGTTTTTTTTCTTTTATTTAAAACATTGGTCCTTATAATTCAATGAAAATTTGAACGGTTTTGACCCTTGAGGGGCTAAAACTTATGATTTAAAACTTGAGAGACTAAAACTAAAATGAGAGCAAACTTAAAGAACCAAACATTATATTAACCTTATTTTAAGTAACTAAGTATCTTTCCCGTGTGATACAAACCAAAGGGTAAATAATAATAACCTGATAACTCTTACAAGATTAGCGCCTTTTCTTTTAATGCATATATCCTTAAATAGATTAAGAAATAAAAGGAATAAGAAATTGTAGGAAGCACAACAAATAGTGTGGGGAGCAGTAGATGGAAACTAAATAAGTGCGGCTCACTATAAATATTTTTTATTTATTTATACTGATATTACTGCCCATGCTAAGTATCTAGAAGGTCAATTGCGCAATTGCTAACACGTGTGTGCAAAACACATTTATTAATTCAAGTCTGCTTGGAAATTGTTAGTTTTGGTGGTTATCAACTTTAAGATTGATATACAAAAGTTTAGTTTTAATGTACAATAATTTGTCATTATTTAGGATTAGAGGGCTGTTGGAAACTATAAAAATGCTTTTAAAAAGCACTTTTTCACAAATTACTTTTATATATTTACTTTGTATATCATAAAATCACTTTTAAAATCATAGTTTCGTTTTCGTCAAAATTTTGCTTACAAAACAAAATAAGCCTTAAAAATATAAATTCAAAATAACGAAAAGAGGAATCAAATTGAGAATGAGTGTAAAACTATAGTGACTGTTCGATTTAATTTTCCATTCTTTTCACCAACTAGTTCATTGGAATTTATTTAGAATAATATTTATCACAACATGAAACAAAAAAGAAACATAAATTAACTCAATGAGTAGGAGGTCAGGGATGAGCAGGGAGACTCTGTCCTGTGAGGAAAGAATGAATGAGGGAGAGAGCCTCACTACGCTTGTTGAGTGGCACCAAGTGTCCTGCTCCTCTTACTGTCACATATGTTAGCCCTTCATACTCCACTACCCTTCCTCCCACCTGCATGGTTTTTTTAAAAAATGATATCATGTCAAATTATAAACTTACAGAAGTATTGCCCCAAAAAAAAAATCTTGTTTTTATCTGAAAATTAATCTGTTCGCTTGATCTAATGATTAAGAAAAGAAATTGAGCCAACAACTAATATATGTGATGTCATAAATTGGGATCATCTCCCTCCAACCATACAGTCTGTGCAATTAGAGAGAGATGGACACAGTTGTGGATCTCAATTGTCAGATTGTTTTTTAAATTAGTGTGGCAATCACTAATATCTTGAGGTTACAAATGGGATCAAGTCCACATCCTACTACTTATGAGAGAGCATTTATGTCACTAGATTATAAAGTACTACACAATAAGGGAGGATCTACTTCATGATAAAGTATCCTCATTTTTACTGTGATATTTTGTGAAACGTAGATGTTATTTTGCATTTGGTCACAATCGTGACTTTTGTTTTTACTTTAAGATGCTTCTAAAATAATCAGAAGCTATTGAGATAACTTCTCAAAATAGTATGAAATTTGATTTGCCTTTTGGATTTTAAATATTTTCAAAAACTTTTAAGCATTCTAAAAATTTTTAAGAGTAGCCTAAAAAAACTGTTCTTTTTTCTTTTTTTAAAGTAAAACTTAAAGTACTAGGCCTCTTGTAGAGTTAAGAGAGTCTGGCTATTGGCTAATAAAAACCCCAAAAAAATAAAGCAGTTTATACTTCCATTTTGAACCTGATTATCATGGTACCAAGTTCGCCAGCTAGACTTGAGCGGCAATCCAAGGGCTTCAATGCAATATCTTGTCCCTATCACTGGAATCCTGCCATCCGCGTCCCCACTGTCACAATAAAGTAACCGTCAAAGACAGCACATTAGGCTCATTAATGGAAGTCATGAACATGATAGAAAGATGATGAAGCCAAAAAAGGAGCATTTATTGCAACCAGTGCACAGAAACCATGTGACTGTTCCGCCAAGAAGGAAATAATTCCGTTGCCGTTGTCAAACACGATAAGCCTCTTAGAAAAGGAAAAAGGAAAGAGCACAGAAAAAATCATATCTGTCCAACAAGGACTAAGCTTCCCCTTTGATCTGCGTCCCGCGCAGTTAAGTAAAACACAAAGTAGGCCTACTTTATATTAACTAGGAGAGAGGAATTTTGAACTAAGAGAGGGGCATGAAGCTCCAATAAGTGTTCTTGTTAGCATAAGAGTCCATGCATTCTTGATGTGTATAGCATAGAGTCTAGTAGAATTCCATGAGTAATACCTGTAAATCCACACTTTGAGACCACCCTTGATGAGTTTCGTGTAGATGGGAAGGACAGAGAAAACGGTGAAGTTATATGTATTTAATATGGAGTCGCTGAGAAATGAGAGTCAGACGCAGATGAATCAGAATCAGAAACCCATGCTCCTCCGGTCATAAGACTTACTTCATAGTGCAATTTGCATTACAAAGTATGTCTTATATTAAAAACAGGAGGAGTATTAAAAACCAAAGATTTGTAATGGAATGTGAATTCTGGTACTCACTTGCAAGTCTTCCATGCAACACTAGTGTTTCCTCCTTTAAAATTAGCATGAAAAGATGACTGAACATCTATCCTATTGAAATATTCTTCTGCATAAGTTGAATAACATGGGTCATAGCCTCCAAAAAGCCTCATCCTTCTCAGTCTGAAATCACTTACACCCTGAAAGAATATTTCCCATCAAAGCTAAAAGCTCTTAAACATAAATCATGGGTGATAATTGAAAATTAGTGCATTAGTGACATTAACTATCTACCTCAGGAACTGATTCGGAGCCTCTATTATTACTGTCATGAGCCATGGAGGGAGTATTATTTAGGCGACATGCGGGGGCATAAATGTTGTAAATATCTATCTCCTTGTAATCTCGGAAGACCACATTCATGGCCTCATTGCATTCCTCAGACCAATAAAATTGCTTGAAATCACAAACATTTTTTGCTTTGTCATATTCCTGATCTGATATGACTGCATGGCTCCATGCATATTCCAGAAGGCCCTTATAATCATAATAATTTTCGGTTTCCGGATTCCCCACCTGCGTAGTTGAAACAATATTCGCTTAGAAGGAAACAGAAGCATCTGGGGTTGTATAGTCTGCAAGTTTTGCTCTTTCTCCTCACAGTCGAGGAGATTTACTTACAATAAAGCCTTTAAGATTGATAAATGAGTATTTGTTTTTATCTTTGTTTCGATCAAAGATGAGCTCTGCCAGCTGAGGGATATAGTGGCCTGCAAAATATGGACAATGAAATATGTAAGAACGCACTTATGCCTGCAAGGGATTTAGATCTTTTCGTGTAAAATTATGTCATATGAGGAGAAAGATGGATGCGAGAGCATTCACTGTGTTTTTAAAAAAAAAAAAAAAACAGAGAGAGAGAAAATACTGTTTATGTCTATCTCTCTTCACGTACATGACCATCGGATAAGATGAGATTACGAGAGGATCTGAATCAGACACAGAAATATTACATTGAAGTTTGAAGTTCAGCACTCACCAGCGTAACTCTCTCCTGATATAAAGAAATCTTGAGATTTAAACTCCGGGAACTTTTGCAGCCAATTTACCAAGAAATTGTAGGCATCTTCAGCTGATTCAAGTGGATTTCCAGATGAGAAATCTATCTCATTTGGTGAGCATAGGTAAATTTAAATACAGTAAAAAGAAACTAACCCACAAAGCTGTCCTCTAATATGCTGAGATCAGAAGATGTGTTGGTGTAAGAAAAACCAACTCCGACTGGTGACTCCACAAATAACAAATTTGCCTCTGCCAAAGGTTAAAATTTTGAAACTAGGTCAGAATAACATATTAAGAAATGAGACAGTCAAACTATAGATATGTAATAGACCAAAGAAGAAAATATAATAAACCTTTATTCCAGGAATAGGGGTTGAATTCCAGTCCTTCACCATTTTTGTTGACTGTAAGAGGTCCTATTTCAACAACAGCACCATACCCAATTGAGGAGCATCCAGGTCCTTCATTTGCAAAACCGGACCACACATCAGACAACAAGGAAAATAAGACAGGAGAATCTAGAGCATATGAGACTGGTTGTACAAGCCTTATGATAGAAATCAACCTCCATTGAGCCAGAGAAGAAGAGGCTTCTTGGATGGTTCAGATTGAGCTTCAAAGAACCAGTAGAAAAGGGCTCTCCCATGATCCTTATTGACAGTGATGTAACCTGAAAATTGTGAGACTGATGGAGTTGTAGGTTGGCCAGGAAGATTAGTTACCCTATCAAGTTCATGCGATTCTACATTTATTTCATATGCTTTAATGAATGGAATAGCTAAAGGGTAGGAACAAAGGGACAGAAGGCAGAGAATAATACTCATATCTGCAACTAAGCTGGACAAATTCGCTCCGGGCAGAGCATTTAATACTAAATTTTTACTTCAGGTAGCAAGTAGATATACAGTGCTAAAAAGTGGGCAGCGCCCGTGATATCACTTAGAATTTTTCGAAGTGGTTGCATCCGCCACCAGAATAAACCTCAGCCACAAAGAAAAACTTAACTCTTCCACACAAAAATATGTCAGAAGCGGAATCACTGAATGATTGAATAGTTTTCTTAGATGGTCATGTGTCCTGCTGCAATTGCTGTTGTCAAATCATTTTTAGATGAAATCTTCATTTAATCATTTCCTTCCCGATAATTTATTCTTGCATTAATTTCGCCTCTCCTTTTCTTTTATGAATTTAATATTATCTTCATATCAGCATCTACCAACTGTTCCTTCAACTAGATAATTTAAATAATTTTTTCAAAAGTAGTATCCATCTACTGTTTAAATATTGTTGAAATGTGTGTGAAGAAAGATCAATATAAAATAGAAAGCAATATCATTATCAATAACATCAATATTGATAACATTAAAATCAATATAAAAGATGTATCAATTTAAAATATAAAATTTATATCAAACCATAAATAGTACAATTCATATTAAACTTCATATAATGCGTAGAAAAATATGTCTCGTTGAAAGAGTAAAAAAATTACAAGAAAACTAAATAAAATATGTGAATAGACTTTACATTATATTGATGTTGACATTGACCATATTTACCTTAGCAAGATGTGCGCAAGTCATTAGCTTAGACTAATCTAGATAACTCGTGAACAGGACAAATTAATAATCAAAGATCATGTGATAAGAATCATAAGCTAAAGACACAATATTCCCTAGCAACTCTAAAACAACCAATCAAAATAATAAATGAAGTCAAACAACCAGAGGGTTACATTAATTTTATTATTTCTTCCCCTTTGAATATCAAATATACACAAAAACTTCATTATACGAGAGCCCACTTGCAGTACTATAGGGTTGACCCCAAGAAGCACGAGATGATGAATGCCAACACTAGTCTTATTCCACAGAACAAGGCCCCGAAATTTATAATTACATTTGGCATTTGTGTGTCAGTAACAAGCATGGTGGGGTTGGCACTTTAACCTTATCCTGACCTTTGGACTGAATCACTGGTGTCTGGGCAAATACAAGATAAGTCCTTTGACGAGTCTGCAGCTGCGCATTTTATCGAGCACGTTGTGGATGTTCATGCTTTCAATCATTCCATGTACATTGTGCGGCACTATCTAGGCACTAGGGTTAAAAATAAATTGCCAAAACCTACCCCGATATTGTTGGATGTCCGCTAAAAGCTGAGAACTCAATGATTCAACAGACGATGAAGGAAGTGTGGATTGAATCGCTCATTGGGCGGTATCTCGGAACACTCATCAATTTGCTGAAAACCGACAGGTGTAGGGTTCTGGAAATTTGCAAGAATTTGATTCTGAAAAGTAATTGACAAAGATAGCAAAAATGAAAGCATAAACAAACAAATAAAAAAATTGAAAACAATAACAATAGTATATGAAAGTGAAAAAAAGAAGAAGATATGATTGTTTCGGTAAAAACTAAATCATTATTTTAAAAAATAATTTTATAATATATAAAATAATTATGTGAGAGGAATTTTATTTCAGTATATAAAAATACGTTTTTAAGTGCTTTTGCTTGACATGAAATAGTTTTTTTTTTTTTTGCCAGAGATATTTTTATTACTAAATAACACTGATACAAAGGACTGTCAAAAGACCATACCAATTCATTACTTCTGATTAAATCAGCAACTTTAGCTTTCTTTTCATCATCTGAAATCAACTCATTACTTAATTTTCCAGTCTCCAAACTTGGCGCCCATCTATCAATCCAAATTCTAACACTCTCTCCATCACTGATTCTCAAAAAAAGATTTTTTCTTAAAAGCTCTCTACACTCTAGCATACTTGACCAATACCAAGAAGCCTTCTTTCCTCTTTTAGCACTCATGAAGTCTGTTTTGATCGGGTGGAAAGACTTTATACTTTTCAATTTTCAGCAATAGAAGGGGGAGGGACGAAATGACCTCTAGTTTCTTTTTTTCTTTTTTTAAATAATACTGAAAACAACAAAACAACATAGACCAAACAAAAAAACCCCTAATTTTCTCTATCAACCTCCCCCTTTAAATCGGGAGGTAGTTGATCTAGGATATAAAAGTTATTCTTTAAAGAATGGGAGAGTTTGGCTAAATGATTTGCAGTTGACAAAGACTTTCTTAGTGAATGAGGTGGAAATGGACCAATCTCTGTGACAAAAACCTAGCTTCATTAATAATATCCTTAAAATGGTGACTTGCCTCACTGCCTCAATAGAAAAAAGAGAGAGGGTTTCAATACAATCTGTGTGCAAAAAAACCTATTTATATTCTTTCGACCAACACAAATTGAGACCATGTATAAATCCAATCAATTCTGCAGTTGTTGGAGGAATAAAAGTTAGTTTACAACTAAAGCCAAGAATCCAGTGTCCTTCTTTATCCTACAACACTCCCCCACAACTACACCTGCCATCCAATAAAATAGAACCATCTACTTCAAGCTTCACATACTCCCCCTTAGCAACAACACTGCTTCTTGTACCAAACTAGGAACTAGTATAAAAATCTTTATCCCAATAAGCTCTGAAGAAACTGTAGAAGGCATTACTACTACTCATGTTATCTTTAGAATCGAACAATTTATTACATCTCGACACCCATATATCCTAGCAAATGTATCTAAATAAAACTGCCCACTAGATCTTTTTAGTAATCGGTTGTCTAATCTCCTTGTTTAAGTTCCATTTGACCCACTCTAACCCTATTTTAGCATAAAAGGTTGGCCAAAGGCAATTGAAACTATTGATTTCCATCGTCGGTGAGCGTTAGCGCAATCTCTGATCAGTGTATTGAATCTTCTATGTCCTTGCACTAAATGGGCACATTGCGGTTTCCATGAGACCGTGCCTAGCTCTCAAATCTGGTGTATGTGTTCGTTCATGAGCAAAAAGCCACACGAAGGATTTGATTTTATCTGGGACTTTCCACCACCATAGCGCCCTCCAAACATCGTCCTCTCGCTATTGACTACATGCAAGTAAAGATTGATACACAGATTTAACGGTAAAACGACTATTAGCGGATGATCTCCAAAACATTGACACAGCTTTTATCTATCCCGTTTCCCCCACGAGGATCTTGTTTGGTTTGAAATATAGGGAAGGTATTTTAATAATATATTTTTTTTTAGCTCACAAAAGGTAAAAACTTTAATTATAATTATAAATTGAGAACTTTTTTAAAAATTATGTAATTATTAGGAAAAAGGGAAATTGACAATAAAAATAGTGAAAATTGCAAAATCTCAAATCAAGGTTGGTTATAACACTTAAACTAGTTTTGACAATTATTGACTTGTAAATAACAACACGGTTTTTGTGACGATTTCTGATTTTAGATTTTGCAATTTTCATAGTCTTTTTTGTCATTTTTCTTGAGAAAAATTGCATACAATAATTTAACTAAAAGATATAATGAGAAAACGCTAAAGAATTATATGTAAAACTCGTTTCTTTTTATAATTGACATGTATAGGAACCTGTCATTTGTCAAATAAATTTTGAAAAACAAATATGATATAACATTTGATATCCCATATTATTTTGAAAAAACTCAATGATAAAAGGATATATTTTTTAAAAGTAAAAATTTCAAAACTTATCTTTCTTGGCTGAAAAATTCAAGAACCCATAAAAACAAAAGGCTGAAAAGGGAGTTTATATACCCATATAAACAAAAAAAAAACATATAATTATGTGTAATTGGAGAACTTATTATAGGATATTAAAAAAAAAGCTTGATCTAAGTATTTTACTATATATATATTCAAAACTTATACACAGGGAAAAGCCGAGAGAGCATTGCATAGTATATTTCATTCTTTTACAAAAAGGATATAAGAAAATTCCATTCCCAAGGGAAACATACCAAATATCAATTTTAGCAAATTAATATAAGACTTTTTTTATACGGAAATTAATATCAGATAATTAATAGAACTTTTAAGTGGGTTAAAATATTTTTACAAGTATCTTTTTTTCCCCTTTTTCTTCATTATCTCTTACATTATCAACAAAACAAATGTGGCAACGCGCAATGCTTCTCAGTCATATCACTTCATAAAGTTTATTATTTATTGTCCTTGTGCAAGTGAAATAATCATTACAAATCATTAAAGTTGATGTAACATACTTACTGCAGCACGAAACATTAAAGGATTTCATTCTTTCTTGCTCTCTTCCTTTCTTTTTGCTAATTACCTAATATCACTATTCACGAACAGACTGAGTGTATTTGATTCCGGTTAAGATAATACTAGTACGATTTTTAATATAAAAACTTATTTGATTTTTTGTTTGATTCTAAATATAAGACCTCAATATCCATTTTGCCTTTCATATTTATTCATTTTTTTCAACATAATCCTTATAATAATATTAATTATAACTAATATATTTGATTAGAAAAGATACTTAAGGAAAGACAACACTTATTTATTGCAAATAACTAATTTTACTAATTTTTTTAATTTACTCAAATTAATCAACTAGCTCTTATATTAAGAACCAGAGGTAGTATATTGCTAATAACAGCAAAAATGATATTGCAATCAACTCAAATATTGAATAACACTTACCAAAAGAAGGTTGGCATAAGTATCCTCTTATTAGAAACAATTTACTATTAGACACTAAAATATAGATACTTTTTTCTAACGAAGATTATACTTCATGAATTGAAAAGGAGAAAAAGACTCACAGGTGAAATCTAATTCTTGTTTGTGTCTCTTTCGTCTCTAACTACTTTATCTAGATTAACTTCAGGACCACCCACAATGCAAAGTAAGAGGCCATGGATGAACAGGGAGATTCTGTCCTCCGAGGAAAGAATGGATGAGGGAGAGAGCCTCACTGGGCTTGTTGAGTGGCACCAAATGGCCTGCTCCTCCCATTGTC